TAGCCCTGCGCTATGATCTCGTCCTCGGTCAATTTTTTATCCTTAATGTTTATGTTGAATACCTTTCGATCGATATCCAGTTCCTCCGTTCCTGGTATTTATTGATTAATAATATTTTCTTTAATTACTATATTAGTACTCGTAATATAAAATAGATATTTATTTTCAAATTTAAAGTATATTTTAAAATAAATAATTTTTAAATCTTTGCCATGAATTTTAATATTTAGTACTAGTTATATGTTATCATGTGTTATATGTTACAGATAAGTTTTTTATTAAAGTTTTTGTTTCAATAACTTATTTTATTAATAAGTGAAATGGTAAAAAAAAACTTTTTTTTATAAGTTTTTAACTAGGTAAGTTTTTTGTTTGTTAATACGATATTTTTCAAACAAGTCAAAATGATCAAGTATCTAATATTTTTTTGAGGCATTAAACTCCTAAGAGTTTCAAAAATTTACTTTTTAAAGATCCAGCTCAAAAAGGTCCTCTATCATATCACCTACTTTTGGTGTCACCTACACTTTTGTACATTTAATTTAACAATTAATTGCATGCTAAATGTTTAACAAAGTTATAATACTATGTTACTATAATACTTAGTACTATGTTACTAGACATATGAGTATAGATATAATTATTAATATTTGAACAATGTTTGTCAAATGAAACAGTCTCAAAAATAGTTGACAAACAAATATAACACACATACCTTTATTTATATGCTGATCATTTATATCCGTGTCATTAACGGCATTCCCATCATCGCCATCCCTGTCCTTAATCTCGGAGTCCATAAGCAATTGAATAAAATCATTATATTTAGCACCGGGGTTTCGACGCCTTTCCGCCACAATATGTCTAACAGTATCCAAAAAATACTTATCCGACTCCCTATCTGCCAACCTAAGCCACTTTTGGACAAGTTGTGGCAAAATTAGCCTGACCAAATCATTGCACAAGTTAACACTAAACTTCTGCCTAGCTAACTTGACAAACAAATTATCTCCCTGTTTATAAGTATCAATTCTTGTACCAAAAGCGCATCTAGCTATTATATCCAGTACCAATCTGCTACACCAATCTTGGACATCCAGGTGCCCACCGGCCAGGGAGTCTATAGTAGCTGTAAAATGGGATAAACAGTCCCCGATTTGAGGGTACATTCGTCGCATCTTTCCCGACGTAAACACCGGCGATACTATAGAGCGAACACGTTTCCAGTCGTCCCCACGCAAGTGGTTCAGGTTTTGGGCGGTTAGGGGGCTGTTAGGGGTCCACACTTTGGTGCGATCGGTGAACAGGTGAAAGTCCTTCACCCAAATTGCCTTGATCAGCTCGGGATCGGCGATGTTCAGCACGGGGATTGACCCCACAAAATGACTACATTTTTTATGTTCACGAAAATTAAGCAAGCACTATTTACTATTTCAGATATTTGTCATGTGAATGCATAATATTAAACTTAAAATAGTGGTAATACACTAAATGAAATATCAATGATGTAATGCAAACATTTTACATGAATGTACTCAACACTACTGTTGAATGAAATTGTGTGTTACCTTGATCATTTCATTTAATTTATCAAGTCAAACAAATAGTTAGTTATATCATATACCCGAATATATTGCCATATTTCTCACACAAATTACGCTCTTTGAATGGGTTTGGCGTCAGGAATGCCGTGAAATAATTGCCAAATACAGGGACAGGTGTGGGACCCGGTATGCCTTGTTTGCTCCAATAGTCGTAACCGCGAGATTTATATCTGCTTGTTCATAATGATAAATATTGTATTTCAAATTTACAAATTAAATGTACGAGCTAAATTAATATAATTATTATGATGTAGTATACTTACAAATAAATGTATGTCCCAATGAACAATACGCCAAATATTACCATGTCAAACATTGTATTGTGTATTGCTAATAAAATTATAGCTAGCAATTAACTATAATACACGCGATTATTATGTCTATATAATTAACAAAACAGTGAGACTTAATTTTATAACTATTTAATTTAAAATCCTATTTATAATAGCACCTTTAAACAACAAGTATAATATGTTGCCTCATTGTTTCATGCGAAATTTTATTTTAAACTGCTTTATCATGGTGCTTCACATAACAGTGGTATGTGTAATAAAAATTACATTGCGAAATATTTCTATTTTACTTTACCATAACTATCCAAAGTAAACATTATTAGATGGATTACAAGTATATTTAATATTACTAACCGGATATGTATTTATTCTCGTCAGTATATGCATTTTAAATTTAGTTTCATATACATGTATAATAATTTAAAATATTCATTTTAATTTTTAAA